CTGTCTGAAACACACTAAATGCTGACCCATTGCTGCTGTGACATATCCCACAGATTCTCCCTGCCATCTCCTTGTACCAGCTCACATCACACTCATCCTTCTGAACATGTTTCTACCTGAACTGTAATGTTTAAAGCACATGAGCTCACAGTAAAAATCAAAACAAAGCCAGAAATTCTTAAAAATTGAGTAGTGAGTTTCCTATGATTTGCTCGTCTCACCTCATTGTAAGAAGTGTTTCTGTCTGCACCATGTGTATGGTCAGCTTATTTTAGTGGCTTAGTCTAGGGCCTGGCAGGCTTCAGGGGGGTTGCAGGGTCCTCACCTAAACTTTTTCTTGAGCCAGGAAACCGAAGGAGCTTGTCAGGACTGGTTTGAGGGGAGTTGGGCTCTGGTTGGAAGCAGTTCTTTTCTGCATTAGGCAGCTGCCGCATTCCTCAAAGCCAGACTGGTGCATGGGGATGTATAAACATCTTCCCTTTCCCCCTTCCCTTATCTATCCCACATCCTCTTTTCTTCCTCAGCCTGCTTTCCCCCCTTGACTCCATCTTTGTGCTGCTTCCTGTGTGTCCCATTCAGTGCTCTTTTCCAACTCTTTTCACCAAACCATTTCTTCTCTTTTATTCTTATTCTTAGGAGTCAGTCTAAATGTTCCGATTGATAGCAGCCTGAGGGAGCATCGCCATGTCACACTCTGAGTGGCACAGGTGATTAGAGAGGCCATGGAAAGCTCTGCAGGCATCTGCATGCTTGGGTGTCCAAGCAGAGCTCTCGAGAACTTCCATTTTGAAGACTTTTCCATTTTTGTCCTTACCTCCCCATTTTCCTTCTTTCCGTGGCTGTATTTCAGTGGTGGGACAAACTCTGTGTGGCTCAGTGTTCACGTGTGATGTGAACTCTTGGGAGTAATTCTGGCATTGTTGGCTTGTCCTCTCTTGTGCTCCAGCCAGCAGATTTCACAGAGGCAGAGAAGCAGCTGGTGATAATGTGGCTGAGAATGGCAGAAGGACGGACACTTCCGTCCTCCCCACTCCCATCTGCTGTTTATCACCAAGCTCTTGCTGCTGTGAAGAACAGTCCCAGGTTTGGGAGGTAAATGTAGGTCCCAGCTGAGCAGCCTGAGAGCTGTGTGGCTTGGCCTTCCTTGTTAAATGCTTGATTCCCTGCAGCACTTGCTTTCTGTGGATGTGAGTTTTGTGTCACAGTGATATCAAAGAGAGCAGAAGTGGTTTTTTAGGCCACCCAGGCGGGTACATTATGCTCTTTCCTTGTGTCACCATCCTGACTTGCAGTGCCACAAACCACCTCATGTCTGGAGTGAGGAGGAGGACAAGCAGAGCAGGAAGGTCAGCAGCTAAAGGCACCTAAAATAGACTTGGGCACGATGCTGTAGGGACTCCTGAGTGGGAATAAGACAACTAGAAGGCAAAATGTGGATTTCAGATGCCTCTTCCCTATACACAGCCCCAGTCCTTGTCACAGTGAGTGCAGGTACCTGGTGTATCTGAGTAACCTGACGTCTTCACTGCCCATAAACCAGCAATGGTTCCTGTTCTGCAGTGCAGACACTGCTTTGGGGCTGCGTTTTGAGTCCATCTACCAGCACAGCCGCCTTTTCCCGACAGGGCATGATGGAGCCGCAGAGTGGGTGGAGGAGGGCTTCCGCTGCTGTCCGCCTCATGGCTGGGACAGTGTCCTTTTTATTAACGGGAAAGAGCCTCCACAGACCCTTAAACTTCCTTTTTGATGAAACCTGGAAGTTTCACAGTGCTTTAAAAATAATGTCCATTAAAATGTGCAGATTGCTTCCTTGTGCCGCGTCTGGAGTGCAGGCAGCCAACACAGAGGTCCCAAGTCTCATGAAGCTTGTGATTATTCACTGCTGAACTAAGCAGGGTCCAGAAAACAGTGACATGCCCTGATCTCGAAAGAGGGAGTTGGCTCGTTGTGATGTGTAAACTGTTAATAATCTAAGATGCTGTTAAGCTGCTTTGAGGAAAACTCTCCTTGATGGTAGTAATTTTGCTGAGTCTTGATGTGTGCTGGGTTTCTAAGTACTAAATTCCAAAAATATTTGAAGGCCAGCTTGTGAAATACTGTTCTTAAAAAAGGTAGTGATTATCAGCCTGAGCGTGGGAAGCAAAAAGCCCTGGAAAGGGGTAAATACATGTATTGTGTTCAATACCTATTGTGTTCAGTACCTAAAGGGGCTACAAGAAAACTGGAGAGGGACTTTTTACAAGGGCGTGTAGTGATAGAACAAGGGGCAATGGCTTTAAACTGAAAGAGGGGAGATTTTGATTAGATCTAAGGAGCAAATTCTTCCCTCTAAGGGTGATGAGGCACTGGCACAGGTTGCCCAGAGAAGCTGTGGCTGCCCCATCCCTAGAAGTGTTCAAGGCCAGGTTGGATGAGGCTTTGAGCAACCTGGTGTAGTTCCAGCCCCATGGCAGGGGGTTGGAACTTGGTGGTCTTCAAGGTGCCTTCCAACCCAAACCATTCTACAGTGATAGTGAAGGCTTGCTGCCTTCCTCTGCCACCGTGTGTGGCTGGAGTGGGTAGAGCAGCGTTTGACTGGGACTCTTCAGACTTGGCCCTGCAGTGATGTCGTGTGTAACCACAGATGTGTTACTTCCCAAGCTTTTGGGTCTCTCCATTGTCTCACTTTTTGTCTGACTTCAGAAAGCCTCAGGGGCAACGACTGTCTCTAACTTGCAACATAATCCAGCCTTGATCTGTTGTTTTGGACACTAAAGGTGACCCCTTAGTAAAATGAATTTGCAGTTGCACCACCTGTAGGCCAAGAGGGATAAAGGAAATTGTGAGATTTAAGAAAAAAAAATAAAGCAAAATGGAAAAAAACAAAGTTCTTTAGTTCAATAACTTAAAATACAGCCATTAAAAGCAAAAAACTGATTGAAATTGACAGTGTGTATTGATGTCTAAACTTGCTAAATGTTCTGAATGTGAATGAGACAACATTTAAAATTATGTAGGGAATTGGGAAATATTTTTAACTTTCAAGGTTGATTTAAGCTGTATAAATATGTCTCAATTTCATCTGCTGCATTAGGTAACTATTACTGTCATAAGTTCCAGTGAAATAAATTGTAACATTTACGGTTTTTAAAATGTCAGTGCTTTTCGTTCATATTTACACAGGGAAGCTTCTCTTCCCAGCAGTGTTTGTCTCCAACTGGCTAGAGGAGTGAGGGAAATATCTTCTTTTTTGATCTGTTCATGCCAAGCCAAGGTGAGATTAAGACATTAATTAATTTCCTTCTTTCAATTTAGAAGTAAAAATTTTTTTAAAGACTGAGAAGTACCAGTTCTCAAAATTCAAAGGTCGTAGGACCAAATTTTAAACATACACTTAGCGGGATTTTCAGAAAGGACAGACTTGTTAGTCTGTCCTTTCCTGATCTCATGTGCTGTATTTCTTTTTGGTGAACCAGTTATAAGCACAAAACATTTTTTTCACTAGTGCACTTTATTTTCCTGTGTATGCAACACACTTAAAATAGTTGTATCTAGCTAGGGAAAATGTACACAAGCAGCATCCTAGAAGTGTTCAAGGCCAGGTCGGATGAGGCTTTGAGCAGCTTGATATAGGGGAAGGTGTTGGGGGGTTGGAACTAGATGATCCTGAAGGTCCCTTCCAACCCAAACCATTCCATGGTTCTAATATATTGTGGATCCTTTTTCCCATGCAGTTGTAACATGGAACTGTTTCAAGCAGAAGGATAATTAGAAATGTCTCATTCGCAGCTTGCCACATAAAACCAGTGGTTTTAGCGGTGTTAAACAGGGTAGTCTCTTAAACAGAAATAGGTAGTGTGTCTTTCCTGCTTAGCAACTGAGCAGAACTAACCTTTAGTTTTATGGAAAGCAGCAAGAAGGCAGAGTGCAAGTCAGCGTTAAACTCGTGATATAAATCTCTTCTGAAGCTTTGTTAGCTGGTGATGGGAGCAGACATGATGTCTGCTTCAGTCCCCCATGCAACTCTTGCAGCGACAGGAGTTCGGTTCCTACTCCTGCCCTTAGGATGCCAGGTCCTGCAGTGCACCCACATGAAAAGCCAGGCTAAGACGTCCAGCAGTGCCCACTGCGGACTTCAGGGATGAAGCGACTATCATCATTATGTTGAGACTGTTGTCAGCATTACTGTGTGTTCATGAGGCTTGAGCAAGTGGATGGTCTTGCTACAGATGAAGGATGTTCAGGTCCTCAAACTGCCAGCTAGTCCAAAAAAGCTGGTTTGCACTGAGAGTGGAGGCGGTCATGGTGCACGTATGGGAGGAGTCAGCGAGGTGCGTTACAAACACTGGGATCTTCCTCCTTCTCTGTTGTTGGCCGTAGATCCTCTTCTGCGCTTTCTCTGTAGTTACGCAGAGCACAGATCATACAGCAGCTTCAGACCTGGTTGGATTTCTTCTGGGAAGACAAGACTTTGGGGCCGGGTTTTTTGGTGGGTGAATACAGCTCTAATGCCTGGGGCATAATAATTCTTGATTGTTGATCGCCGTCGGATGTTACCACAGCCAGCCCCCTACGCCTCTGCACCCAGCTGTCTTGCGGGTTATGTCAGCTGGACTGAAGCACAAAATACAAACCTCATTCAGGTGGTTCATCTTTTGATAAATCTCTTTCTCATCTATTAGTTGGTTTGCAGACGGTACAAGCCTGCTCCTGCTGCCTTTCCACTGAGCTGGGAGGTGCAACCCTGCTAATGACCAAGTTTGAAGAGTGAGGAAGAGGGTGAGGCTGTCACGATGTGAGCTCCCACATTGTCATAACTGAGCTGTGCAGAGCACCTAATGCTGATGAAGGGGCCGCACAATTGCACGAGCATAGGGCTGCATTTTTCAAAGCAGCCTAAAAATGATGTCCCCAGATGAAGGATTACCATCTGAGTGCAGTTCTCACCAGTAGAAGAAGAGTGACATAGGGAGAGGGTTCAGTTAATAAAGTGTCACTTTGCTCGCTCACGTAAATATGAATCGCTGTGTCTGCTGGGCATTTGCGTGGAACTGAGCTTTCCAGGAATGAACTGTTTGTTTCTGGTGCCACATCTATTTAGGTTGTTTCAGACTTGACATGTTGAACAGACAACTTGTAGACAGGAAGAAGGATATCTCGGTTAAAATAACCGCTCAGTGGCAAGTCTCTGTGGGTGAAATCCTGCCAATTGCTCAGGAGCTCTGGGACACTGGGAAGGGCATTGAGACAATACAATGAAAGACATTGAGGCAAGAGTGTGAGCAGTCAGCAAAACTGGGAGCAAATAACCAGTGATATGAGCTGTGGATTGCAGACTTCAAGCACAGATACTGTGCCAGGCTGGGGCTGGGCAGGACGTGGCAAAAAAGGTCACTGATAGACCAATATATGGGCAGAAAAAGGTGAACTCTTGCTCCAGTTTTGCCTGGAGAATCTATGGAGTGAAAGATTAGCAGATCTCTAAAGCAAGACAAATTATCATTAATCATTCAAACTATGACGCTTCCGTGACTGTTCTCTGAGTAGTTGACTTTAGTGGGACTGACTGTGCTGAGGCAGAGACATTACAGTGCATGGATAACAAAATGGCCCATAATATAAAGACCAGAAAAATCCCAGCAGCGTTTCTTCACTTAAAATACCATAGTAGCAATGTTTAGCAAGTGGCCTGAACTCCTGCTGCAGTCTGACCATGGTTTTCATGTGTATAGGAAGTCAGTCAAGACGAGGAGACTCCGTTAGCACTTCTGGCTGGAAAGCAGCCAGAGAGTATGTTGGGAATTCACTGTGGTGTATGAAGTGGTGTCTGCCGCTGCTGTGTGCCTCTTCCAGATCAAGTTGACTTCTAGGGGGACAGTAAAATGTCAGATTTTGGCCATCAAAAGCTTACTTGCCTCTAGGATGCTGAAAGAGCCCTTTAAAGCCTAAAGCCATGCGACAGTCCAGTGGGCATCCATGTGTTCCCTGAGTCAGTACAATGCTTCCTGAGGCAGAGGGCACAAGTAGTGAAAGAATGGTACCTAGAGGAGCCTGCCCTGTGCAGCTGCTCAGTAGGACCACAGTAGGAGCCTGTTTTCAGTGAAGATTTTCCTCCAGATACAGACCTCATCAGCTTCAAATAGCACTTTTACTGCAACGTTGAGTAATAGAAGTGTGTTAAGCGATCAGCAGCGTTCTGTATCCAGCTGGTGCCTTCCATGCATACCCGTTCCATAGCACTGTCTGTTCATGTCTTCGCCAAGCATCATCCATGCCTTCATCTTCATTCCTTACTGGCTGGCCCTGCCAGCTGAAGCCCTCTTCAACAGCTCAGGTTGAAATATTTCGTGCGAAGGCTCACTGTGCTCGACTGATGAGGTCGATGAGTTCAATTTTCCTTCCAAGCAAACCAGTCCCAGTCAGCCCTGAGAGCCTCATTCACCAATGCGTCACTTCATAACTTTGGACCTGGGAACCGTTCTGTAAATGCCCTGAACTGATGGTGGAATATTTAACCCTGATGGTTTCTTCCCCTCTGCAGGGGTTTGACACTAAAGGACCACACCTGGAAACTGCAGGAAACTGCACAGGGTCTGACACTCTGAGAGTCGCTTCTGCTCCAGTGCACCGCGGAGTGGATGCAGACAGCCTCTGGTTGACCAGGGGGCTCCCTGAGCATCCAGGGTTTCCATTCCTTTCCTTAAAATTCCTTTCCTTAAACTCCTAAGAGAGGCAGTCTGCAGGGTGTGCTCAACAGAAAGGCTGTGTTCTCAGCCCGAAGTAACGAGCGCTGCTTAGGAACTCTGTCCTTCAGCATTCCATCCAGTGAGGCTAAAACACCATGCTTTTCCTTCCCTGCTTCAGTCTGAGGAAGCTGCATGGTCAATCTGGGAATTTGCATCTGAGATTCCAAAAGAAACATTTGTAAAGAGTTTCTTGCCCCCTTCTGCGGGCCCTCCCCACGTGACCGTTTCCATTACTGTAGCATAGAGTGTCTATTAAAATCTCTGGACATTTCAAAATGGGAAGGAAAGACGCAGATTCCGTGGATTCCCAGCCATGAGAACCTTAGCAAGACACTGAGGAAGTTCACAGCTGGACGTGTCATTATTTGCAGTAAACGGAGACCCCCACCCTGCCACGGTTAGACGTGGAAGTGCAGAGCAAGGGTAGGGCGCAGTGAGCAGATAGGCAGAGCTGTGTAGCATGCAGCCAGGTCTCTGCCAGTCTCAATATTTAAATCTCTTTCTTTTTTGCAGAAACCGCGAGTCCCCTGATTACAAATCCTTTCCCGCTTTTACAAAGTAAGTGTGATGGATGTCTGTGGTGCGCAAAGGCGGGGGCTTCCACCCTGCAGCCGTGCTGGCCTGCCCTCTTAGCATTTTTCGTGAATAAATGTTTTTTTATTATGAGTCCAGGTGTCAAAGAGCAAGACGCCTCACTTCTGTGGCTCTGGTTGCAGATTTAAATGCCACAGAAATCCTTCAGGGTGTTTCCGTGCAGTGCGTGGCTACTGGCCCATTTAGACTCACTTACAGCCTTCTGGGAGTTAAGTTTTGTGAAATATGCCCATAATACATGTCCTGAGAGACCAAGGTTTGACGACTGAAAATGAACCCATGTTTAAGTTACGTTTGCGCCCAGGAAAACTTGTCTCGATGGCTCAGCTCACGAAACACCTTTGCAGAGACAATTCCCTTTGGCCTGAGAGCACAGGTGCGAAACAGGAGCCCAGGACATGGTGGTGAGCGAGCAGGAGGAGGAGGAGAGCAGGTTTGGGATGGGCAGACGCAGGTGATGTCTGCTCGAGGTTCTGCCCTGTGTCCTTGAAGCTTTCAGCAGGCGGATCTTCTTCCTTCGCCTGACTGTGGTTACTGCTCGGCTCGCGTCTGGATTTTAGGGGTGCTTCTGTCTGCACCAACCTCGTAACCCAGGACTGCTGTCCCGTAGTGTGGGACAGCCCTGAGTGCTGCACCCTGAGCATGGCCACGGGGGTGGAGGACGCTTGTTCTTTCTTCTCTTACAAATCTGAGAAAGAAGTGAGAGCTTTACTCAGAACGTGAGGGTTCACGTTGGAAGAGAAATCCAGTTAGTGCCAACAAATTTGACAACCCTGTTGCATTCAGGACTCCCCTGTTTAAAGCATGCTTCGTAGCACCTCTTTATGTAGCACCTCTTTTATTGTCTGACATGGGTGCAGGTGGAAGAAGTCCTGTTTTCAAGAAACTTAAACTTATTTCGGTGTGTGATGGTGTTTTTCTAGGAGACTGCTGCTGAGTCGAGTGTATTGTTTCATCAGTTTATGTCAAAGGTATGGGAAGATGCAGTTACACTGTTCTTAAAGCTAAAGCTGGAAACATCTGGCAAAAAATACTGAGAAGTTTCCCTTACAGTTCTTCTGCATTTGTTTTTCATCAGAATGTGGACAGAAGTGTTGAAATGTGGGTCCTTTCTGCTGAGGCCTGGGGGTCTGCTCCCTGCGCTGCCATCGGTCGTTGAGCTGGCAGCTGGGTTTCACTCGTGCACAAGCAGCTCAGGGCGTTTTCTGTTGAAACTTTTTGTTAAAAGCTCTCAACTCGTCTTCACTCCTGGCCTCAAACCAGGCTCTGCTGTTTTCGCTGGCTTAGATGTGGCAATGAGAGTTAACATGGGAATTAGAGTGATTTATTTAACTGAAGCACAAGTACTGGTTTTTCTCTTTCTTGGCTTATACAGCCCGCTGCCTTGCTCTGGAGCCTTCTTCACTGGGAATATATAAAGCACTAATAAAAGTGTCTAATAATAGCCCTGGGGAGAGATGTTTTAAATTGTGCAACCAACTGCGAGCATTAGTTCTGCGTGGCTCAAGAGACTGAAGAGGCTTCAGCAGCTGCTGGTGCTGTAGGTTTCTGTAAAGGTGTTATCAGAGGGCACCTGGGCACCCAGTAAGGGTGATGTGATGGCACATCTCGTTCAGAGCAGAGAGTCCTGACTCACAAAGCAGGTCATTTTTTCTGGAGAAGGATGCTTTTCGGGAGGAGGAGTGCTTGGTGCTCAGCAGCCAACACCCAGTGCACCTCAGAGTCATGTCTCTTCTGTTTTGGGGGGAAAGCTCTTCGGTGCTTGATAGGAGGATGAAATGCCATTGTTCAGGGATGCTGCGATGCTTGAGTTTGACACTGGCCTTGCAAGAGGCTGCTGGAAGTGCCCTGGGATGGATGTTGCGGTTCCGACGGCACTGCTTGCTCGCAGCAGGTTCGTTTGTGCTCTCCGCTGTATAACCCTTCGACGTTGTGGGAGAGCTCAGGAGCGAGAGTCAGACTCCGCTGAGATCCACTGGCTGTAGAGTAGCCCTTTTCTGCCGGCAGACAGGACATGCTCAGAGTGATTTCCTCCTCCTCCTCCCAAATTTCCGAGTACTTAGCCTCAGAAGAGCTGGACAGTCAGGATCCTGGCTCAGCACAGTGTGATCCTCGGGTCGCTGGAGGGGGGACAGCAGTGCTGCTTCAGGGACGGCCGTCTCCGAGCGCTGGGGTCTGCTCCTCGGCATGGCAGGCGGTGGGAGGAGGGGGCAGCTGGGTCTGTGCCACGAGCCCTGAGTGGAAGGGGACGGACAGGGTGGAGGGACCGGAGGAGGAGGTATGTGATCATGGTGGTGGATGTATAGCAAGCGGCCGGCGTAGGCACTGTGCAGCTGGTCGCCTGCCATACGCTGCTGTTGTACCCTCTCCCTGCCTTCCCTGGTGCTGCGCAGACAGGTCTGGCCCACGCAACATTTGCCATTTCATGCACAGACTTTCTGCTGCCAAATTTAGGCCACAGGATTGCAGAGGGCTTCTGAAGATACAGCAACAACACAGAGCCAGAGAGGCAGCAGGGCTAATGTGGTGGCCTGAACTCTCTGAGGGTCCAATTCATGATTTCTTATCCTTTTGTGAAAACTTAGAGCCTGTTTCCACTCCTTCTGCAACAAAACCTCTCGCATGCACGTTCAGCCATGTGGCAGAACACAGAGGACAGGAGATGCCCAGAACCTTGTTTGCAAGGCTCCCTGCGCAGCAGCGTGTTTTAGGGGTCCGGCAGAGCCATTTCCCTGTTGCTGCACAGGCTCTCCAGCTTTTCCTGCCACTGCAGGGACGTGCATCATAGCTATGACTGAATATAAACCCATGGGAGAGCTTGAGATGTATCCCAAGGCCTGCAGAAAACACAGTCTCTCCAACTGCGGCCCCAGCATCACAGCTCTGGTCTTGGCTATGTGAAAGGCTTGTGTTCTGGAGGTGGGTAGAGGAACGATAGCAGCCTGGCATTCCATCTTCCGAGACGTTTAGCTCAGCTACAGGCTTAGAGTTGAGCGTTGCAGGGGTTTAATGGCTTATTTGTTAACGTGAAGTCTGTAGGATGCACTAGCGGCAGGCGGTAGGGGACGGTCTGCTCCGTGCAAACTGCAGGACCTTGTGCCTGGGTCCCAGCCCAGCCAGCAAGGCGAGAGCAACCAGAGCTCGGGATTTCAGGCTGTAAAGGGGAGAGTCCTCTGCAGGCAGCCTCGGCGAGCTCTGTGCCTGTCTCCTTCCTCCATTGGTGGCTGTGTAAGGTGAGCTTTGGGCTGTTTTCAGACCCTCCCATCACCCAGCTGCTCTGGGTTGAGCAGTGGTTACTGGGAGCGAGCTGTGAAAACAAGGAGAGGAAAGGAAAGCTGCTCATGCAGCCTGGTGAATTTATCCTTCACTCCCTTGGGATACAAGTGTGAAGGAAGGTTGTGTGAGCGTGGCAGCCCTGCGTGCCCGCTGGGTGTTGTTGGGGTCTTGGGATGATGCACCAGCCCAGGAGGGCTCAGGGCTCTGGAGCTGTGGCTGCAGGTGCAGAGTCCCAACCCGCAGCCTGAGCAAGCCGAGTACAGAGCGAGGGAGCCGTGTCTGCTGTGGGGGATGCAAACAGAGCAAGGCTGGGGAGAGTGGAGCACCCTTCTCCCCGGCACATGCCAAGGGAGCAGAGCTAGAAAGCACCTGGTGTTGCCGAGAGGCCCACGGGCCCAGGGGAGAGCCCAGGACATGTCTGAGCCCATGGGGTAAATGGCTGGGTTTTCTCATCAAAAAGGGGTGCTGTTGCTCCTGCCGCAATCGCACCCTCTCAGATGTGGAGACGCAAGAGGACTTGGTTGCTGAGGAGCAATGAAGGGTTTGAGGAGGTGAGGAGAAGGTTTCCGGCAGCGTGAGACGGGCTGTCTGAGTGGTCCTGCTGCAGGTTGCAAGTCTCTGTGCCGTTTCTGAGCTGACAGCAGAGCTGCTCTCCCTGCTTTGCAAGCAGAAATCAAAGGGAGGGGGGAATTACTTGCTGCGTGCACCAGCCTGGAGGAGCAATTCTTTTGCAGCGGTGGGTGGCTTTTGCCTGGTTTCAGATGCAGATTGCCCCTTTCTTCTCTCCACCTTCCAGATCCCTTTCCCTCTTCTAGCACTGATGCATCCCACCCTCCTTCCAGCTGGTCTGGCTGTTCCCAGCTCTCTGCGCTGTGGAGCCTGAGGGGCTTAGAAGCTGAAATCTCAAGTGTGAGGGTTGAGAAAGCTCAGGGAAGTATATTCGCACGGGAATTCTGCACATCCTCCCAAGTGTCCCTTCCCTCCTTCCTAGGAAAGACTTTTGAATTGTTGGATGTATTTGAACTTTATCCTTAGTTTTAACTTAACTCATTTTCCTTTCTGGCAAACTGTAGACTTCTATGATTCTCTGTCTCAAAAGTATTCAGAAAATGTTTTAACAATGCAAAATTAGGTTTTGAAAGTAGGCAGTGGTTTCGTTTCCAGGGGTGGACGTTTCTGTAGTAGAACAGAAGTGGAGGCTTTTGGAAATGGGATGAAACATCTACAGGATTTTTCTGAGAAGAATCACAATTGAGAGATCTTTTAGAGTCACTGAGTGCACTGCGTACACAGTATGTTGTAGTGGCAGAGGGATGAGCTTGAGACAAGGAACTGTGGAGACCTTGATGGTCACTGCATGGTGGATGGAGATGGGGAGAACCCAGAAAAGACTGGTTGGGAGTGAAGAGGAGTCAGGCAAGGGGAGAGCTAGAACGACGACAACACAGCTTTATGGTGATAAAACAGCTGAGAATAAAACAGGAGGAAGGTAAAACAGCTCAGTGAGACAAAATAAGCAGAGGAGGAAATGTGAGGATGTAGTGAAACAGGAGAGAAAAATGAATGTGAGAAATGTGCTGCTTGGAGAGTGCTGGGTGTGAGTGATTTACTTCCCCTGTAACTGAGCGTGGGGGAAGAGTTGTTCTGGTGACTGCTTGGAAACCTGCTTCTAGGGGAGTCGTGGAGTTTGTGTACTTGTCTGGGAGCAGCAAAGCGTCCTTGGATGGCAGCAGAGAAGCATGGATTGCTCCACCACCACTTTCTCTGGCCAAGGTTACTACAGGCAGAGATGGGAAGGGAATGCGTGTGCCTGCTTATGTTTGAATGGCACACGGAGACCTGAAAGTGTCCCAGGGAACTGTGGTTTGACATCTCTAAATTTCAGACTTTCTGAAGCACCGGAGATGTACAGCATGTTGTGTTCTCCCAGCTCTGTGCCAGGGGAAGGGGCTCCAGCAAAGCAGTGGGGAAGGAACGGGGTGGTAGCTTTGTAAGCTGCCCTGGCTGCAGCACCGGAGCTCCTCTGACCCTGCCAGGAACCTGTCAGCAGCATTCAGCAGGCTCTTTGAAATGTGACTTCTTTCATTAGAATAAGGAAATGTTAATTTTGACACTTTGAAGGGGAAGTCAACCCACTTAGTTTGAGACATTTCCATCTGAGCAGCCTGGGCTCCGTAAGCAGGAGAGGCAAATAGGTGCATCTGTAACACAAGTCATCTGACATGGAAATATGTACTTAGGGGGATGGTCTGCACCCCTGTGGGGTCTGGTCCTCTGATAATTACAAAAGGGAGTCTAAACAATTAGATTACATTGTGCCTCTTGTGGCCTTTTACCACTGCTGACTTTCACTACTGATGATTTCAACCGAAACAGCCAGTCCATGTTAATCCTCCCAGTCTTGAAATTCCAAAGTATGCCACTCAGCTGCCAAAGCCTTCCCTTTTTTCACAAGCAGCTACTTAAGTACCACGTTTCCAAACTTCCTCACTACAGCCAAGCCCGGGAGTAGCATCACAAGAAAATACAGTGAGTTAAATAAAGCACTAAGCAGAGCTCCTCCAGCTGGAGCTGGCTCCAGCTTTCCAGCGGGCTGTAGGTTCTGTGGGAAAGGCACAGCAGGGCGTTTAACCTTATGGCATATAACTGTAGCTTATACAGACCACTTGTGGTGTCATTGATGTTTTTCCTCACAGCTTCCCGTAGCCATCTGATGAATTCTGGGGTTTGCTACCTGAGATAGACATCTTAGAGATTATAGCCACGTCAGGCTTGGGCTTTCCTGTATTTTGGTTCTTCCATCCTGGATGCTGGTGGTTTTGCTTATGTGCAATAGATTTCTTAAGTTTCATGGATGCAGAATATGTTTTTACCTTTGAACGTAGACACAGATTTCTGGCATATTGTAGCAATAGACCTTGCTCTGTGTGTGTGCCAGGCATTTACATGCAAAGTTTTTTGTATACCAAATGCATTTGTCCATTCTGCTGTTCCAAAACAAAATGCCACAGCGTAAATGGTGGCAGTGTGCTGGTATACCTGGAGATACAGAAGCAAACTGCAACGTTAACGTACTTCAGCTGCTGTAGTTTGATATCAGTTACATCTGTCAACTAATGCACTCAACTAATGCTGTTTAAAGGAGCAACTGCAAACATTTGCTGTTAGGTTAATTCAGTGGAAAAAACGCACTTTCAACATACTTGTTAGAACAGAACTAAGCATCTCTTTCAGCTCATGGGGGAGCTCTGCAGCCAGCTCTTTCCTGACTCCAGCTCATCCGTATTACTCTGGCAACACGGCTCTCCTGCTCTGCTCTCAGCCTTCTGGCACAGCTCTGATTTCTGTGCTTCTTCCCCTCCACTTCTGCTTAACCCCGGCGACTTGCTGCTGCCGAGCCCAGTGGCACTCACCATTCCCCAGTCTCGCTGCACTTGTTGACAGCCACAAAAAAAACCAAGCTGAGCTCCCCCACGGCACTTCTCCATGCCCCAACTTCTGAGAAAAAGGAGTTTTGACCACCTGATGCTCCTTGTCTTACTCAGGAAAGGCAGCAGAGACTGAAGTTGACAGAACTGGATGTAACATTAATTCACCATGCTTTGCTTTCAGGCTTGAAAAGAATGAGGATACGCTTAAAGCAGCCTGCAGCAGGCATGAGCTTGTGCCCCGGTCAGGGGGCAGCCTCTCAAACCCTAGTGCAGGTTGGCCGAGATCCCAGCACACACACCAGCAGGTGCTTCGCTTTGGTGCCCGAGCTGTCCCTCTGCCGTTCCCAGCCTTCTCGGGGCAGCAGAGGGAAGCACGTGGAAGGATGCCTGACCCCAGCCCGGGAAGCAGTGACGTGCCCTCCCGCTTTCCCGAATCGCAGCCCGAGCCCTGCGGGCTCGGTTCTAAGGAGCTGCTGTGCCATGCACACGTGGGCTGAGGGGACGAGGAGCGGGCCCTATAGGCGCCGCCCCGCTGCTGTACGAGCTGAAGTGTGCACGTGTGCTGCTTCCCCGCGTACTCTGTGTAATTCTTCTGAACTGATTTCTCCCAAACAGAGCCTTACACCTGTGGAGCTTGTGGAATCCAGTTCCAGTTTTATAACAATCTCCTGGAGCACATGCAGTCCCACGCAGGTAAGCTGGGCACTTTGACTCGCTTAAAGCGGAGAATTAAATTCTGCGCTGCTGCCTGGTGTTGACCCCGTTGTGTGTCAATAGAGCTTTCTGTGCTCACGGCTTCCAAAGCCCCAGGAACTTCACCTGCAGCAAAAAAGGTACTCGAAGGCTGAAGTACACAGCAGTGGCTGCAACAGTGCGAGGCTCAGGGCATCTCATAAATATTGCTGCTTCCCATAGAAAGAGAGGAACCATGCACAGAGCACATCAGACTACTCATTCCCTTTATCCAGAGGTACCTAGGGAATGCTCATTGTGTCAGCATTAACGGGTCACTCCTACAACGAGTAAATCCCTCCTCCTGCAAAAAGGGGAGTCCTCATTGAAGCAAACAAGGCAAAACCACTTGCAGGGCAGCAGAGCCTTTGCCTACACAAGCCCTTTGCCGTACTGTGTCTGCTGCAGTTCTGCAAAGGACTGAAATGTGTTCCCAGAAGAAGAATTTGCCATTTCATCAGTTGTGTTCATTTTCTTCTCAGCTATCTACAAAAGAAAATTCTGGGGAGTAGTTCCACTACTTTGTTTCTAAGCCACCTTTTCTGTTTTCTATCTCAATACATAAGAGACAATTTTAAAATTTCAAAGCCAAAGCTGTTTCAAAGACAGCATTCAGAATATCCGAAAATTAAGAAATCGGATTTTTTTTGTATTGGCAGAATTTTTTTTCTTTTTTTTTTCCTCTCGAATGAAAATTTAAGTGGTTTAACAAAGGTTTACACACTAATTCACCTTTGACAGGCCTGTGTTCTCTGACAGAGATGTATGTTCAGTGCTTGCGTTTGTCCTCACTCCGCAGGTAAGCCCTGGGGGGAGTGGCACAGAAGGGCAAATAGCTTGAGGAAAAGCATATTTTCCATTCTCTAACAGTAATTTTAATGAAGCTCTTATCTTGTTCTGGGGTTTTAGTTTTAGTCCTAGTTTTGATGAGTGTCCCTTGACTTCTTCATCCATGTGGTTCCTCGGTTCCAGTTCAGTCCTCATTGGCAAATCTTAGCGCAGGCTTTGTGTGTTGTTCTGCAGTGCCTTTATTTACCATCTTTGTAATGTTATGAATAGACATGGAGGGTGATTTGTTACAAGATGGTGTGAGTTTTGTGGATGTTATTTTCTGTTAGAGCGTAAGCTGGTTAACGTGGAGTGATTGGACTCCACCTTACACCGAGGAGCGGTGCAGCTCCGCTCAGGGTAGTCGCTGCCGACACTCCGTGGTGTTGGGATCTGGTCTTGCTGTTTGTCAGTGGCAATTTCTGCTTCCCTCCAAGCTGCGTCCTGACCGTCCTCTTCCTTCTTCTGGTCTCCGGTGCTGAAATGCAGCATTTGGAGCTACAGCTCTTGGTGACAGTGGGTAGAGGAGTTGCAAAGGAGGGACCAAGGCCAGGGCATCAAAGGGGAGAATGGCAATTCACTGGCGAGGTGTGAGCTGTTGAAGATTTTCAGCTAGGGCTGTCTGCAGCTGCTTCCTTCCCTCTTCTTTACAAATGGCCTGTGGCCTCTTGGCTTGTTCACCTGGGTTACTCTGGACACAGACCAGGACTGGAGGGAGCAGATATCGGTGTTCTGGCTCATGTAGTGTCAGCAGAGATCCCCTCTCTCCAACTCAGCATTACTCCTGTTAAACCCTGTGTCTTCTCATCTCTCTCTGCTCCGTTTGTAAGTCCATTTGTCGTGGCTGCTTCCCCCGAACGTCTCGCTGGTACAGTGACAGCAAGCTTGTCCGTGTCTTCTGTATGCGTCACCGAGGCTGCCCGCTGTGAAAGCAGCCGTCCTGGGCTGTGGCATCCCTGTGCACGGTGCTTGCCAGTCCTGTGCTCCTGCCTCTTCCTCTGGAGGAACAGCAGCTTTTCCTCCAGATCCGTGCAGCCGGGGGCGAGCGGTGCGGGGTTTGCTACTGTGGGACGGGGGTGAAATAAAATGAACAGGTTTGAAAGCCACAGCCAGGTTCGGTGGGTGTGCAGCTCTGCATGTTGTACTTAAGCAAAGCAGCCCTGGAGGTTCCCCAGGACTTGCAGTGACTCTGGTTGCAGTTTGTTGCCTTTTAGCCTGGCACAGCTCAGGGATTTCCGTATCCAAGAAGCAGAGTCGGCACAACGTCTCTGAAATCTGGGGGTGCAGAGACCTTGCAGTAGTCAGCAGAACTGGTGCCATAGAATGCACTTACTGGAGACGCTGGCATAGTAGCTGTTTGTACCAGTCCCTATGCCTGGCTCAAGGAATGTTTTGTTATGGGATGCAGAGATACAGGAAGCCCATATGGGTCAAATACTCCCTCAGTTAGTGTGTTCAGGAGTCCAGTTGGCTTATCGTGCCTGATGCAAAGGGCTAATCTCTTCCAACTGAATGGGATGCATCCACTGAGCCCCTCTCACAAGTGGCTGAAGACAGGGAAGGTGCTCCTGGCCTCGAGGAGCAAAAGCAGGGACATACTGGCTCTTGAGTCATTTAGAGGGCTGAGCCTGGAGGCTAGAAGGTAATAAGGAGAGATTATAGCTCCATAAAGCAGCTACACAATGAGAAGAAGCAATTAGAATGTAAATTGGAGGCTGAAAGGCAGAAATAGAACAGCAGAACACCAGGCAAAGGAATTTGTTTCTGTAATTATACTGTACAATATACAGCTTTGACTCCCTTTAGAGTACTTTGTTCAGGTCGAGTGCTACCATATAATGCCCTTCCTACAATCTAGAGCTGAAAAAATAAAAGGACGACTAGGCTGAACCTGGATTAAAGGATTGGAGGCATGAAGAGAAATTAAAGAACCATGATCTGTGTAGTTCACAGACTGCCTGATAAGGAAGATGAGGCTGAAATGCACAAATCTCATTAACGCCGTACTGAATGCCAGCAGATACTTGTACGTAATAAATCCCCAATTATTATGAAATAGATAAAAGAGTTGGGGGGATGAAATATAGAGGGTTTCTCCCTCTGCCCACCCCTCACCAAGACAAGGAAGGCCTGAACCATGAACAAAATTAGTAGGCAACATCCAGCATTTTCCTTTGCCCACCCACAGGTGTTTGGAGTTGAGGACAGTGGTGGCATTAGCTCAAGAGCAATGGGTCTAGGCAAATGCTGAGGGAAAAGTGATGTGTCATATCTGATCGCTGGCATCCACTGGAGCACCTCCTGCTCTTCACATCTCTTCCACACCTGCTGCAAGGACCGACTTCTGGCTGCAGTCCTGAGCATGGCAGTGCTCCCCAGCTACCAGCCATGACCAGGGAATTCCCTGGGCATATACAGTCCTCCAGGCAGTCCCAGAGTCTGTCCTGGCTCTGTCATATCCTGCATTGCTCTTAGGTATCAATCCAGTCTGTGGCCAGTGCAGCACCCAGACCTAATAATAGCTGTGGTCTGTGGCTGTTCATCAGCAAGGTTTGTGAATGCCCCAGCAGTTAACATGCACTGCTGCTCAAATTTGAGAGGACTTGCTCGTAAGGAAGAGGGGCACTGCAGTTGCATCACATCATTGCTTGTCTCTACATCCTGGCTGGTCTCCCTTCTCTCCCAGGTCATTGCTACACGTGAAGGAGAGCAACTTTGCCCTCATCCTGTTTGTTCTGATGGGCAGCACGCTGCTCTGCCCAGCACCAGATCAGCCTGGGCTGCAGAGCAAAGCATCTGTGTGTGCCTTAATAAGATGTTCCTCTAATTCGTGCTCTGCTGTCTGGAGTGCTGGGGCAGGATTCATTTCACTGCTTGCTGGTGGGCCTAGGCTATAGATGTTGGCACCTGAGCTGATCAGCTTGGACTCCCTTTATAATCAGTGGAGAAGAAGTCATTTGACTCCAGGTGAGTTCAGAGCATGATGGATCTTGTACTACAAGAAGCATCTAGTTCTGCCTGGGTGAATGAATCACACTCTTAAGCCTGTTTTGCACCACTGAGTGTAAAAGGAGCACCAAGGGGCCACTTTGAAGAGAGGCGTGTCTAATAGATGTTCACAATTTAGGTGAGTTGAGTCCAGCTGTGATGAGTAAAGGACCTGTTTTGTCATCTTTAATTCCATCCTGCTGTTCGGCCTAGTCATCAGTCTCTCCATCTTTCTCCTTCCTCTTCCACCTCTCTTCATTGTGTGCTTTATTGTTTCTTCACAGCCTATTTCAGAGCACAGTTTCATAGTGAAGCGTACTAAGAACTGGAAAATTTCCTCTAGAGTGTGGGGAGAGGTTCCTGGGGCACAGGAGGGGAAAGAACATGGATGTGATACAAAATTTACTGATCTTGACTGCATTTCCTTGAAAGATCCCATCAGATTGGCAGCCAAAATGTTTAGCCCAGTTACACAGAAACGGGAGCCTGAACAGAAAGACCCCTAAGGCGGTTGGTATCTTTGCAGTCATAGGGAGGAATGATCTTCGGTCACACTCCAGAAACTTGGGTTTTTTTCCTTTTTGTTCCAGTCTGAGGCAGCAGGGAGCAGCCCAAGAGGAGGTTGGCCCCCTCTGTAGTGGGAGGAAGCCAGATACGAAGATTGTAGTGAGAGGAATTGAGCGTAGGTTGAAAAACAAAGTACTTACTGAACAGTGAAGAAAAGAGAAGCCACCTGTGGTGCAGAAAGAGGCAGTAAGGCAACAGAAGAATAAATGTTTGTTACACCCACTTTCATTCCAGAAGTGAGCAAGTTGCACAAGTCGGGCTGCACGAGCAACGTTCCTCCTGGTGTGCAGCTTCAGGTGACCGGGGGACGTTTCTCAAGGTGCGCTGATGGCATCCATGTCACTGTCGCACGGGAAAAGCCACTGTCATTTCAGCCCCAGTTTGGGAGGTGATAGGTTGCAAATGCAAAGACAGTTTCTGATGGCACTGTGCCATCTCACTGAAAACTGCTTAAAAGCTACAGAGAAGGGAGTAGATTGGTGTCACCTTAGTTAAGGGAACCGTAAGTAAATGCTAAGCAGATGGGTACTGTTTCCCCTTCTTTGTGCTTTAAGTGTTATTATCTTGTGCTTTTAACACCTCCCTGTCTCTTGCCCCACAGCTGACAACGAGAACAATATTGCCTCTAGCCAGCCCAGATCACCTCTAGCTGTCGTTGAAGAGAAGTGGAAACCACAGCTCCAAAGAAATAACGCCAACAATAGTACGTAGCAGTGTTTGCTCTTCCATCTTGGGCTTACCTGTCTGCTTTGAACAAGTCACTGTCAGAGAGGGTGCAGCAGTGATGGGCGTTGCTCGAGGCCCTTGTGCTCACCTAACTGCACTTGATTTCATCCATAATTCATGTAGTGTCCTGCAGAGCAGAGCACCCATTCGCGTTACAGGAGCGCTCATATGCAAAAAGTACTGGCAACCCTGGGGAGGTGGTAGGAAAGGTTTGTAAGGAAGATGCATTTGGGAACTCCTGGAAGAAGTTAACTTCTGATCCAAGGTCAGACTTCCCAACCTGGGGTTAAAAAACTAATTCAGTCATCATGGTGTGACGTAGGCATAACCTGTCAGTCGCTGGGCTGGCAGGCAGCCAGGGTCTGGCTTTATGTCCTGTGAGCTTGTGCTTCAGCACGGGACAAGGTAAAGTACAGCCCTGTGGGAAGTCAGTTCCAGAGCACTTGAGCTGAGCAGCCTAAGGGAAGGGTGATAGAAAAGCCTGGTGCTTTTGTGTTCTGCTGTAGCCAAAAATGACATTGACATTGACATTGCCTGAAATGAGCCACAAAAAGGGGTTGCTGAAGTTGAGAGGAAGAAATGGAAACTTGGGCTTCAGTGCTGTTTGAGATGGTGGAGGGAGCAACTCCTCTTAAAACAACTGTCTCAAAGAAAAGGCTCAAATCACAGAAATGGAAAGATGTCCAGCTTTCCAGCTGGCCTAATCGGTGACGGCCAGCCCGTAGAGATGGACAGCGAACAGCACACGTGGTTATAGCTTACCTAGGCACTTCTCCAGTGAACACCACAGAGATGCCATTCGTTAAGGCACTGGATTGTGAGTAGGTAGTGTGTGCTCTGCCTCAGTCCCCACACCAGGGAAAGCGTGCAGGTAAGCTCCTTGCTCCTGTAAGCAAGGGCAAGACCTGTGTCTGGAGGTTCCTCTGTCCAGAAACCCTTGGGGAAAGAAATCCAGGGTTGGAGATGTCTCTGCCATCATCTGGACACGTTCCACCTCTTTGGGTCTCTCTCAGAATCGTTTTGAGACTTCCTCCCCTGTCCCGTTGCAGAGGAGCGATTCTCATCTGGTGCTTTCTCTCCCTCCTTCTGTCTCACTGCAGCATCGGCGAGCGGTTCGGTAGGGAACAGCGCGATCCCAGAGAAGGAGCGGCAGAACATTGCCGAGAGGCTCCTGAGGGTGATGTGCACTGACCTTGGGGCGCTGAGCGTGGTGAGCGGGAAGGAATTCATCAAGCTAGCACAGACCCTGGTGGATAGCGGAGCTCGCTATGGTGCCTTCTCCGTCACCGAAATCCTCGGCAATTTCAACACACTGGCTCTGAAGCATTTGCCTCGGATGTACAACCAAGTGAAGGTGAAAGTCACCTGCGCCCTGGGCAGCAACGCGTGCCTTGGCATCGGTGTCACTTGCCACTCCCAGAGCGTCGGCCCCGATTCTTGCTACATCCTGACGGCTTATCAGGTGGAAGGCAACCACATCAAGAGCTACGTCCTGGGAATTAAGGGTGTAGACATTCGAGATAATGGTGATTTTATCCACCACTGGGTCCAGAACGTGCTCTCGGAGTTTGTGATGTCGGAGATTAGGACGGTGTACGTCACAGACTGCAAAGTCAATTCCTCTGCGTTCTCCAAGGCAGGTATGTGCTTGCGTTGTTCGGCCTGTGCCTTGAACTCGGTAGTGCAGAGCGTGCTGAACAAGCGAACACTACAGGCTCGCAATATGCACGAAGTGATCGAGCTCCTGAATGTCTGTGAAGATCTGGCAGGATCCACGGGCCTCTCGAAGGAGACCTTTGGCTCCCTGGAAGAGACCTCTCCCCCACCCTGCTGGAACTCGGTCACCGACTCCCTCCTGCTCGTCCACGAGCGCTACGAGCAGATCTGCGAGTTCTACAGCAGGGCCAAGAAGATGAACCTCATCCAAAACCTGAACAAACACCTGCTCAGCAACCTGGCAGCCATCCTGGCTCCGGTGAAACAGGCGGTGATCGAGTTGAGCAACGAGAGCCGGCCCACCTTGCAGCTGGTACTGCCCACCTACGTCAAACTGGAGAAACTGTTCACTTCCAAAGCGAACGATGCTGGCGTAGTCAGCAAACTCTGCCACCTCTTCTTGGAGGCGCTGAAGGAGAACTTCAAAGTTCATTCGGCACACAAGGTAGCCATGATCTTAGACCCTCAGCAGAAGCTGCGGCCCGTCCCACCATACCAGCACGAAGAGATCATTGGCAAGGTCTGTGAGTTGATCAATGAGGTGAAGGAGTCCTGGGCAGAAGAAACTGAATTTGAACCTTCAACCAAGAAGCCTCGGGCAGCAGGGGAAGCCACAGCAGCTCAGGAAGAAGATTGGTTCGGGAAAAATGAAGTCTATGATTATTTGCAAGAACCTCTCTTCCAGGCCACCCCTGACCTGTTTCAGTACTGGTCGTGTGTTACCAAAAAGCATACAAAACTAGCCAAGCTAGCCTTTTGGCTCTTAGCAGTGCCTGCTGTTGGTGCCAGAAGTGAATGTGTAAATATGTGTGAGCAGGCTCTCTTAATCAAAAGGAGACGGCTACTCAGTCCAGAAGACATGAACAAACTCATGTTTTTGAAGTCCAACATGCTTTAAGACTGTCTTTTAATTAAAACAAAACTTTAAAACACTGTTCCAAACAAAGAAAAAGAATTTTAAGTTCTAAACACTGTGGACCTCATTATGAATGCCCCTGGAAACCAAGTGCTTTTTTATATATATATAAAAATATAAATAGAAAGGAAAGCTGAGCACGTGAGAGAGACAGCCCTCTGCCAGGAACGTGCTCCTTTCCGTAGATAGTGTGTGGACTTGACAGACTTTCTCATGTTTTCAAGTGGGCAGACCAATGGGAGGCTGATGTTCTAAAGTCTTCAGGCAGCTGAGATCTAAAGTGACTTGAAGTTTCTTTTGTTTCTCCTCCACCCCACCTTTCCTCTTGTCCCCTGGGCCATCTTGCCATGGATAATCAGACTACATTGAACAGACCAGTTCTGCACTGGACTTTGCTCCTTTGAATAACTGTACACCTTGAGGGCGTTTGTCTGCAGCCTTCTTGACATACAGTGCATGTTATCAGGGCAGCTGTGTTTTATGAACACCAGTATCTTTAGAAATCAGAAGGGAGACTTGAAGGAGTTCTTCTGTTTTATTTTTAACTTTTTCATACATGGTTTTTCCAAAAATCAAAAGTGACTCTTCTGTCTCCACTCTCAGTTTTGAGTTTAACATGTTAGCTAGTGATTAGAAGTTTGATTTAAAACTAAGAGAAATGGTTCATGGCAGAAAATGTCTCTAATTGTTACATTTCTTGGATTTCTTTTTTTACAGCCTAACTTCTTTTCTGAATTCCCAGCATTAATTAGCTTCTCTGTGAATTTTGTACCTCAGGGGTTCTCAAACTTGTTCTAGCGTAGCCCGTTTGTGATGAAATAATATCCTTATGGGAACCACAGCAGTTGCTTATATGGAAAAGCTAGAAACCAGGAAAAGCAAGCAAGCGGTGACAGCTCAGATGTCTGTGGGCCACCAGCAAGCTTGCCAGGGTCTGCCAGCTGCCATTGAGAACCCTGGTACCTAAACTTTTTGTAAAAAAGTTTCTCACTACACACACTCAAAACGACTTTCACAAGGCCAAGGACAAACCAAGGTGTATGATTTTTCAGGGGAACAAAGATCATCAGTTTTGTCAAACTGGGGTTTGAAGGAAGCTTAGAGAAGTGCATGGGCTCAAAGATCCTTCTGAATGTAAGTGCTCCTGATTGAGTGCAAAGAATATCTTCCCATTTTATTTGGAATGGTTTCCTCTAGTAGCACGAATGTCTTTTTAATACCTACAGTGCATTACACTACTTGTTATGTTGCTGAATCCTTCTGGCTAGGAAGGCCACGGGCCCTTAAACGTTCACACTTACTGGCTCACCCCAAATGCAATTAGAGATCATCATAACGCAAAAACATCTCAGTCACTCTGCTGTCCACCAAGGCCAGTGCTCCGCTGTGTCCGGTGCCCGTAGGCACAGTTCCTGGGTGCTGCACGGGGTCTCTGCAGGCTGTCAGGTTTGGTGCCTCTTGGACAATTCCCAACTGCTGGTGCCAAACTGTTAATTTTTCATCACTGGGACTTGCATGCCGGAGGCAAATTGAAGCAAATTCTTTATTTTTGAAGTAGTCTCTCCTGCTTCCAGGAGTGTGCTCTGGAGCTGCGGGCACAGTGGCAGCAGAGCGGCGTCGGAGGTCTGGGAGGATGGACTCGCTCAGCTCCGAGGGGGCAGGCTGGGGGCCAAAGCCCTTCGGCAGCTCAGGGGCGTTTTCTGGCTGCAGACAATGCGGTGGTGAGACTGGGGACCCTTTTTGAAATGCTGCTGTTGAACAGATGTTAAAGCAAGATCCCACCTGCCCGTCTCTGGCTGTAATAGAAGTTGCAAGTCCCAAGACGTGAGAAATGGCAAACCCAGTCTCTCGGGCTTTGTTTGCAGATGCCTTGAACCTGACGGGTGCTAAGCGACAGCTTCGCCGCCACGGGGCTCAGACAGGGGCCAGTTTGCGTGCTGGAGACCTTCCCTAGGTCCAGGTCGGTGAGGACGGCTCTTGGCACCCAGCTAGCTTGCCCTTTTCAGCCTGCAAACAGGACCTGCTGTTAGCTTGAGTCTAGCCTTTGGGTTGACCTCTCGGCGCTGTTACTGGCAGCAGGGCAAAACTAGTCTCCTAAACGTGAGGTTTGCGTGTGGAGATCTTAAAAGACGCGATTTACAACCCCACTGACAACTCGAGGGGTAGCAGCACTTGAAAATGAGCTGCCAGGGCAGAGGCACTTGGACATCTTACTTCTCTGGCAGTAGCTTTTGCGAATGGAGGTGTTGGTTGTAGGGCCAACTTTTCTTCTTGCTGGTTTTATTTTCTCCCGTGCAAACCCTGCCTGCCCAGCCTCCACTTGAGCCCGTGGGAACACATCTGTTTGCACTTGCGGTGCAGGAGAAGCCTGTAAGAAGCAATGACTAAGTCTCAAACTGCAAACAGAAAACCCAAGTGAGACGCGTGCCGATTACAAAGCGTTTGTGCTGTGCTGCTGTTCCCGCTGAAAAGCACAAGGTATCCTGCAGCAGGAAGACTTGGCTGGAGGATGAATCCAAAGCACGATTAGCTTTTGAGGTTGCAGAGTGTGTACCGTGCGGCTCAGCCGATGGGCAGAACCGGGGACAGGGTTCGTAGTTCCTTCTCCTAATGGCTTGTTAACACTTTTTTGCTTGGTTCGCCTGAGAGCTGCTCACAGGCTCTTTGGTGCTGGGGTGAATGTGCAAAAACCCTTGTGTTCCTTTGAAAAGAGAACTCCAAACCCAAGCACTCCTTTCCTAAGGGGCAGGCTGGTAACTTCTGTGGGATTTGCCAACTCAGGCTTGTTGTGTTGGCTGTCTGCAAGGCATTGAGGGTAGGGCGGTGGACAAAGCTGAGTTAGCACAGGTTTAAAGCCCTGGAATTGAGAATGAAGTGAAATTGCAGTTGTTTGTGCAAGCCTTTGATGCCAGGCTGCGCAGCCAGGTCATGCAAACAGGCCACAGTCACCCTCAACTCCCAGGTCTCCCCTTCCCCTTTTTACAGTGTGGTTTTGACATCCCATCTGGAGCTTTCTTGCTGTGACGACCAAAGAGAGGGGTTGACTGGCCCTCTCCCCCGTCCGAGTAGCTGTCACCTCCAGGGCAACTTGGTTATAGTTGCACCAGTGATGGATGTTAAGCAGACATGCAGTGTTGTCTGGTAAATGAGATTCTCCCAAATCTCGTTTCTCCCAAATTCTCCCAAAGACTTAAAAACTCAACTTAGCAGCTGAAAAAGCAAAATAAAACCTAAAGCCCTAAAACGGAGCAATCTGGGAAGTCAGTGAGAAGAGGAGCTGGTTGACCAGCCTCCTTCCCCACCGAGTCAGTGGGAGAAGCCGCAGCTTCTCATGAGTCTCAAACGTGGTTACAAGGTGTTCTGCTCGGAGGAGCTACTCATGCTGTGTCCTAAGGGCTGACGTTTGTCTGATGTACTTATGCTTCATTAAAAGGAGAAGCACATCTGGAGCACACATTTTTACCCTAAATGCCAAACTTTTGCTCCTGTTTCTCCTTCCCTCTTGAAGACTTGGATTCACGTTCTAGGCAGCACAGATACTTTATCAAGGTCTGAGTTTTGGAAACTCTTAATTTGCCAGGTTAGTAGGATTGGCTCAGTGGTATGGGCAGCACTTGTGCTGTAAGGAGCACTCCCCATCCTGTGGTGGGAGACAGGGAGGAGAGCATCTCTTAGCTTGGCCAGAGCTGTCAAGAGGTTCTGCTCCCTTTGAGCTGGGAGGAGAAGTCCTCAGAATTGGCATTGTCCTCTGGTAGGTCATGCTGGGAATTTGTCTTCTGCTTGTTTCCTTCCTGTACTCATGTTGGGATACAAAAATGCTGTATGTGTCCTCCAGGCACTCGTTTGCTTCTGCTGCTTACTCTGTGCCTGACCTTGAAGACTTCTGACTTCACAGTTTGCTTTGGGAGGGGTTATGATCTTCAGGTGGGGAGAAGGCACCAACAGAAGATGAGCTGTAAGGAATGAACGACCTTCCAGTCCTGTCTGAAGATCCTTGTTACTAGAACACTGAGAAAGTGGGATACAAAGGCAGAGCTCTTCAAAACAGACGGTTGTTTCTGTGTGAGTACAGCAGCCAGAGAGTCAGCGGAGAACGTGGAGCCCAGATTTGTCTCCTGTGTCTGTCTCTTCTCCCCATGTCTCTAGCAGTAGACAGTAGTTGTGTTCTGGCTTGCAAGATGGGTTCTTGTGCCTGGGTCAGTTCCAGATGGAAGTAAGCTTTTCCTTTTGTCAAAGCTCTGTGTCTGTTCTACGAAAACTGATTCGGTTGTGTTTGAACTAGTGCAATCTGGAAAACTTTCTGTGAAAGCCGACTGCAGGCTCAGGTTTTGTCTAATTCAGTTGTCTGTTAAACCAGTTTAACTTTGAGATAAATTGGTTTAAGCATCCACGTGAGCCACCTGCACTGGTTTAACTGTGCTTGCTGGGTGTTCTCTCCTGCTGATCAGAGAATGTGTCCAGAAGCAGCTCAGGGAGTCATGACCCTTACGTGAATTTTGCAAATGAAGTTGTGGCAGATGCTCTCAAAGCTCGGGAATGACTGAAAATAAAGCGGGGGGGGGGACACACTTCTGAAAGTTGCTTGAGCTCTAAATTGTGGTATCTGAGTTAGTCCAGTGTTCAGTGAGATGTCTCAGGTCGGTTGGTTTGCTTTTCTCCAACTGCTTGCAATAACATGGAAGGTTTAGCGTGAGAAGAAATTACCACGTACGTTCATAGTGGTGATGAGTCCACTCGGCCTTACCCAGTCTGAGGGGCCGTTTCCACCCTCTGGATCCCACGGAGGGCAAGCCAGGACGTAGAGTTGCACAGGAGCAGGGTGACTGAGACATTGTGCTACTCGGAGAATGCTGTGTGCATTTCTGGACAGCACCAAGTTACTGGTACATCAGAGACAGTAAAAGAGCAGCCAAAAAGTTCTTCAGAGGCTGGGAGTGCTGCTTTGTGCCGAGGAAGGACTCGGATCTCTAATTGCATCTCTCTGGCTAAAGGAGGTGGAGAGGAGCTCCTGGGAGCATTCAGAGGGAGCACACGCGGGAGGGGACAAGTTGTTCCCTATGGAATGATTAGGAGTAATGGGATGAAAATGAACAAAAAGACACTAAAGGCAGATTCTGGGAAACCTTTTCAGGGAGGAGAAATCTGTTTATCTGGGAGGAGTCTGTTATGGGAATGTTTTTTGAGCCCTGTCATTTAAAGCCAGGCTGTACAGCTACGTGGAGCACACTCCGTAAGGCACAAGGCTGCTTTGGACCTTGCCGAGGGAGCAGAGGCTGGATGTCGAGGTGGGAAAGGATCACCTGTGTGTTGAGTCCGGTCTTGCCCGATAGGTCCAGGAGGGTTCACAGACCATCTTCCTCCTCATCCTCACACTCTCCACCGGCACCAAACCCTTCCCAGCACTCCAGTACGTATGTGACCAGGTTTCGTAAAGGGGGGAGGCAGCTGATGGGCAGAAGACAGAGGGGAAAACACCAGCTGAGGAGCATGTGTCTT